TTTTATTTCTCGTTAATCCAACTTACTAAATTAGTAACTTACTAACTTACAAGGAGAAGCTACGCTCTGCTCTTCACCGATTTTGATCAAACTTGCAGCGATGTTAGAGGAGCCTATCAAATGAACACCTGTAAAGCCGTTCACGCCAATGGGCCTTAGAAGCCGAGTAATGATCATTTAAAAATATACCAAAAATCTGAAAACGGTCTAATATCTCGGAAAGTATGCATTTCTGAGAAAAATGTCTTAGACAAAAATGATAAGGTTTAATAAGATGTATATACTAGTCTTATAGGTTTGACCTTGGGCGGCACCATCAAGGTCAAGTCAAGGTCACGGTGCCGCCCAAGATCAAACCTATAAGAGTAGTATATACATCTTATTAAACCTTATCATTTTTGTCTAAGACATTTTTCTCAGAAATGCATACTTTCCGAGATATTAGACCGTTTTCAGATTTTTGGTATATTTTTAAATGATCATTACTCGGCTTCTAAGGCCCATTGGCGCGAACGACTTTACAGGTGTTTATTTGATAGGCTCCTCTAACATCGCTGCAAGTTTGATCAAAATCGGTGAAGAGCAGAGCGTAGCCTCTCCTTGTTAGTAAATTAACTAAATTAATTTACTATCAATTATTATTTCAGTACCACATTTCTATTTTTGCAAGAAAATATTAAAACATATTTTTTAGTTTTATATTGAAATTATATAAATGTAGGAGACTATTTTATTTTCTAATACTTTATAACTATATGGTAAATGTATTAATATTATTATATTTCAAATAATCATATTTCTTCCAAACAACATAAAGCATAATTTTTATAATTAAAACAAATTAATTAAAGTAATTTAAGTCAATTTTATCGTTAAAATTTTATTGCAAAATGCCAAAATATCAGTAGATAACAATATTATTAATCACGTTAATTACATTGTTTACTAGAAAACCAATTAATATAAATATTACCTTCATACTTGCAGCAAATAAATCATTTATAAAACAAAGTAAAAATTCTCTCGAATAATCTCTGTTAATTTGCAAAAAGCCAACACATACAGATAAATTTTATTAAAGCAATTAAAATACAATACTTGTCACAAGCATCGCGTTATCATTATAACATAATAACAGAAGAATCGTGAGATTTTATTACAGATACAGTCAACTGTTCATGTTGCAATCTGTATAGAAATTGACAAAGGAAGATAAATTTATATAAATTATAAAAATTCATTTAAATGATAAAGAAAATAAGGAAATGATGATATAAGAAAAATATTTGAACATTTTAATTATTTTTATTTTTTAAGTAATTGATTATTCTCACTAGAAAAATTCTATCCGATGTTAATTGATGTGTGAAATGAAAGGAAATCTATTCTGTTTGAAAAAGAATCGCAGTATCTGTTAAAGCAATGTCAATTTTGCAATCCTGCAATTGTGCAAAAATGCAATACTGACATCTATCGGAGGGAGAAGGAAGCAAAATGGAAGAAGTTGAAAATGAAATAAGTGCGACACTTTTCCGTACATCGGCGCACAACTTTTCTCTGCAATCTCTTACCGTTACCTTCAGTGATAACGCCGATATCTGAGAATGTCTCCGGTTAGTCACCACCTCTTGGTAAGCTTGCAGTCGCGAATTGTGTTCCAGGTGTGTCTTCAGAGCGGGATATCGATTGCATGATATCGTTAAGGGTGGTAGAGAGAACTGTAGCTTAGCGAGAGAGACAGAGAGAGAGAGAGAGAGAAAGAGAGAGAGAGAGAGAGAGAGAGGGAGGGAGGGAGAAAGGGAGAAAGAGAGAGAAAGAGAGAGAGGGGGGAGAGAGTATGCTGTTGGTGTCACATACTGACGTCTGCATCTAGAATACATACATATCTACATCAGTTTCACAATGTTTGAGAGACACAGAAAAATTACTATGTTTGATTCTAATCTGCGGATACTTTTTACATATCAAAAATATGTTATATTAATAAAATATTTTATATGATTTATAAACACTACGCACGCGCGCTTTTAGATTTTATAAATAGAAAACCGTGGGTGAAAAATATCGGATATGAATTAGCTTTAGTTGAAAATATAAAAAAGATAAATATGTAGCACGCTGCGCTGTTAAAATATATATACATACATATAATATATATATTTTTATTAATAGTTATATATATATAGTATATACATATACACATATGTATATATAACTGCTTTTAGTTGTAAGTTATATTACAACGTTCAATATTTTTATTTACCTATAATATGATTTAAAACAAAAACAGTTTTCTTCTGAAAAGGAAAAGACTGTAGTTAGAATTCGAAATAACATAAACTTTTTTACTTTTATTTTAGAATTTGTTGACTTGATAAATCAATTAACACTAATATAATGAATGCTGACTAACAGTATTGACTGCTAAGAGACTACCGGTGATCAGTATGCAACTTTTTAGTAGTCTAAAACAAACCTTTATATTTCTATATCTATATACCATATACAATCTATACATATCTTATATAAATCATAAATGTATGATATAAATGTATTTTTGGCGTAAGAATATCATTTCTGTAAGAAAACAAGACATAAAATTTGTTAAACAATTTACGTGTTAAAAAATGTTTATTAAATCATATTTATTACATATTAAACGGCAAGAACTTGCTGGCTTAATTACAAAAATTTAATTTAAGTCAATATAAATTTAAAGCGTAAATTTTAAGTGTCATAATGCAATTATCATTTTTTCTTTTACGCACTTTCAATAACCAATTTAATTCCTTATTCATACGAAGAGAAAAATTTCTCAGTTAATATTTGATATCGGAGTTTCAATACTTTTATTAGCTTTTTCAATCAATGATTATAAATCAACTTTTTCTTTTTTCTTTTACATACTCTTCTTTTTAACATTAATAAATTTTATTTTTATTATTTTTTTTAATTTTTAATGACCGTTTTTCCTATAAATTCTAGTTTATATGAATTTTATTTTGCTTTCAAGAAGTTAAATTTGAAAACATTATGGAAAGTTGGTATTATACTTCTTATAATCGTCAAGACTGTAAAAAGTTCTTTTTAAAGATTTGAATAATGACCTGAATGGCCTGACATAACAATTGACTTGGAAAAGATTTCAAAAAGTAACGAGAATAGAAGCATAGAAAAAATCTGAAAAGATTCATCAGAGAGAGGACATTGAACATAAAATTTCCTTTTGGAATATATTTCTGAGATATGATTGGATAATTCTTCCTAACCATATTTTTTTATTTCTTCTAGAATTTTCTACAGATAAGTTCCAAGAGAAAAGTTGATGGATAAAATGAACTGTGCAAAAATTTTCTACAATTTTTTCCAATGTTTTACTTTCTAAATACATTTATATCTTTAATAATCTTAATTGGTCGAAGTTTTATAATATTTTCCTTCTTTGGTTTTTCTTTTAAGTCATATTATGATGATATACATACGAGGTAATATTTTCTCAGATTTACATGAGTAAGAATGACAGTTAAAATAGCTATTTATATTTTAAAAACTGTCAATCGAAGAACTGTCATTATATATCGACGCTTGTGAAAGGTAAATAATACGTGCCTAAAATTGTTTCATTTAATATTCCATAAATACATATAGAGAAAATATATATAGAAATAATTAATTAACGTTGTGTTCAATGTTTGTACATGTATTATTTAGATTATTAATTTCGTTCTGAATTCCGGTACAAAAAGTTTGTAGGAATTTCATTATTTACCAAAATAAAAGAAAACACCGTGAAGAAATCACGACAAATGATGTGTTTACTTAAAGATTTTGTCTTAAGAAGATTTGATTGCTAATTCTGAGAAAATATTCTTGTTGCCGATATCGATTACTTACTATTCCGAAACTTTGACATTAAAGATGTCTTTATAAGTTACTTATTTTCGTCGTCTCGAATCTAGCACAGAAATATCTAAGTAAAAACTGTAATATCCACATCTTCCTGATCCACGTTTTAGTCGTTCCGAGAATAAAGACGGATTCATACCGATATTAAAAATTTATAGAAGTAACAACGTTAAATCTGGTAACTTGAATCAATTAGTTAATTGTATACGGAGAGAAATATTGGAGTAACATTATAGCTATAATATAATATTTCCATTACTTAATTTTTGTTTCATGAAATCATAGTTCTATTTTCTCAATCTATGTATTATTTTCTCTTCGTAATTGAATAAAATTATTTTGATTAATTAGGCAATGTGTCTTTACATTAAGACTCTATTTTCCCTAAATATTTCCTTGTTGTTCCATGTAATAGAAATTGTATACTTTGTTATGTATTATCAACAAATGTCAGGTTTTCTAATTCTAATGAAGAATTAAAACTGCGCAATTCTAAATAATGAATTAAAATTTGTGGCAAATATTAATATCAAAATATTATCCACATGGAATTAATTGAGAGAGAGAGAGAGAGAGAGACATCTTTATTTCTCAAGTTTGAAGCTTCATCATAAGTTTTTGCTTTAAAAATGATTGATCTTGACATCACACAGATTTATCAGAAGACGCGGTAGATGGAAAGAATTCCCATGACAAAATAGAAACTTCCTGCCAGATTGGCGACTTCCGCGGCGCACCAAAAATTATTCTTACGCTAAAATCTCGCAACCGGAAGACGTAAAGTACGCTCGCGCGTTGCTTCAGCGATCAACATCCCCAAGTTACACCGCAAGGTGCCAACGTTCTGAATCTCCACCTTCTCTCTCTCTCTCTCTTTTTCTCTTTTTCTCTCTCTCTCTCCTTCGGTCTTGTGGTGGGGGAGATATCGGCTACGGACCTAATGGTAGGAATTCGTGGTGGGGAGGACTTCTACGAGTGGGGATCATATGAGAGCACAGAAGTGTACAGAGGGGTGATGAGGAGGTGGGCATGAGCAGTAGAGGGAACGGAGCAGCCGCCGAAAGCGTAAAGAGAGCCATAATTCGCCGGGCCGCCCCGCAATCAGGTTCGTGCTTTACAATCCGCCTTACTCGTGACATTCATCATCGGATGAAAAAAAGGACGGTAGTGTACATGTTTTTACTTATGTTACTCTCTCGTCTCCGATTGGACTGTTCCGTAAATTCTCGCAGTACGTGCAATTACGCGAGAGAACGACGTACGCGCGTTTCACAGCGATTCATTGATCTTTACGCGCGTAGCATCGTGCGCGGCTTCCCGGTTCGTATATCGCGCTTCTGAGGGGACGGGACGAGTCGAGTGTCGTCGAGCAAGAGAGAAAGAAGCCTCGGAAACAGTGGTGCTGAGCGAGGCGCGCAACAAAGAGGAAAATGGAAAGAAACACAGTGCCTCATTGACAGCCACGTACCGAAGTCATTCTACCTGTCAGATGATTGTCTATCAACTGGTTCATCATTACACATAATTCGCTAGATTCCCATCTTAAAGCTCCAATCAACTTCCACATGTCGCTCATACTAGGACGAAGGAACTCTTCCTTCATTATTATTTCCAACTCCTAGTGCGATTAAACTACAAGGGAAAAATACTAACTGCAGAGATACCAAAGATACCAGAACGAAGGTAACGATTATTATGCTAATTTTACAAACTCGTATGTGGCAAATCGAAGGGAAAAGTGCAGTATTAAAATTATACATACTACAAGTATAAATACATACATAAGTACCGCTTTTATTTCTTTTCTAATCTCTAATTTTTTTCTGATGTTAAATGTGCGCTTATTAGTTGGCATTTCTTGATTTCTTTGTTTCTTGAGGCTGGCGTTTCTTGTTTTTTGTGAGGTTGACATTTCTTGCTAGAATACACGGAACACAGACTAACAGTAACGTCAGTAACATTAAATAAATTAATTTTCTACTCAACACTGTAACTGTTATGTACAACATGTGTTATATTACATTTATACTGTTGAGTGCGAAATTATAATATTGAAGTAATGTTACTGTTAGCTTATGTTCTACGGGAACCATTGCTGTCCTTCTATAGTCGGTGCTCCGCCAACGTTGAAATTGTGTAGCGTCGTTCTTCTTGTCACGTCGTCGTCGCGTAAATATGAGATCCACCTACACATACACACTTCTAAACGCATAACAAACACGCACGAACAATACCACTCACACACATGTACACATGTACGTAAGTGTCTTTTGCAGACACTTACGTGCTTGGAGAACGACGATGCGCGCTTGTGCACGTGCACGTTGCTGCACACACAAAGCCATGATTCTGTACACGGTTCTGATTATTAACGAGTTATTACTGCGATACTAATTAAGTTTAATCGCAAGGCCGCCCGTTCGTTAAAGTTAATTGCACGATCGACCACGGCCCACGCCATTAATTGCGCCGTCCTACTCGTTGTTCGACGTGCGCGCTTTTATAGTTGAACTTACGTGTTTTGCGGTCGTGAACGGTACTCGTGTAAAATGATACGATTCTTTACGAAAATACACCGCGATTCTCATACATTTAGCAAAGTTCTCTTGGATGAGAGACATATCACGCGGATAGAGCGTAATGATTTTATTGAAATTTGCGATGTCGGTTTGGATGATTCACGCTCGGCCATGTTTAAGTAAACATTTATCCTTTTGGCAATCTGTCAAATCGCGGTCAAGGGTTTCCGTAAGTTTATTTTTGTCATATATCGCGAATTAACGATTGTTTTTGTCGAGCTATGTATTACATGACATGTGTTAAACAAATCTCAGATTATCAGATCAATTATGTGTTACGCACATGGAATTTTATAAATTTTTTACTTTTTGCAACCTTGTAATTGGAAGTGCTCGAGCTTGTTAATGTTATTATTGGAAATTATTAGACATATACGATTTCTATTTAATTTAAATCAAATTTTTGTACAAAATAAAATTTGCGAGAATTTATTTGGCAACATATTTTTGTTTTCTGTTCCATTAGATGTACTGTGATGAATTTATCGATAAAAGGATGAACTCATAAAACGTAGCACTTTGCTTATCTTGTTTCTTAATATTAGAATAATGGATCATTGAAGACATTTATAACATTATTTAATACTGGAAAGTAATTGCCAGTGGTTTTTGTTACGAAATTCATATCTTACGCAATGTTGTTGCCAAATGCAATGATATCTAGACGGATTTTCCAATTTCGTAAGATTTCGGCTTATATATTATTCTAATATATATGATCGTCATATTTTTGATAATCGCGTGTTGTACGACAAATTTTTCAAGCCTGTTGATTGGCTATAGAATAGAGAGATCCGAGAATAATTATATATCTATCTTTATTTGTAACTATCTATTTCTATCTATTTCAAAAAAATTTTTAAAACATGAATGATTTTTGTATAACATCTTTAAAAAATTTTAGATTGACGGTCAAAGAAAAATACGAATATTTAATGTTAAGCGACGAGTCTGATTGTGCCGAAAATGAGCACATGTCGGATGACGAATGCAGGTTTCTGGTGCCATGCTTAGAAATGTTCCAATACGAACTTTCTATAACACATACAAATCGAGATTTTTCTTATAAACAGAGAATAATAACGAAGCGAACTAAGAAGATTATTACAAAATTTACATTATTTAATTATACTAAAAGCAATACACGTCAAACAATCTACTAAAAGTTAAAAAAAGTTTTTCTGATTCAATCAAAAGATATTGAAAAAAATATCGATTAATCGAGTAATTGATAGCGATTAATGAAAAATGACTCATATGCAATTTCGCGATTTTAGAGAAACAAACACGAACGCTTTTACGATTTTGATAATATATATCTATGTATTGATGTGATGATAAATCATATTTAACAATGATAATATAGCTACACGTGTTACAAACTTCTTCTCATTTTCGACTTGTCATCATAATTTTGTACTACATCTGCCATTCGTCCAATCGATTTTTATACGCCGAATAATCATCCTGTTTGTCAAACGCAATGTTGCAATTTCCTGCAGTGATTTCCTGATTTCATGACTTTCATCCGCGGTTGTCTTCGTCATTAACAGTATCTGTCTGTTTTCATATTTATAATTAACTACCCAGACAACGCAAAGTCTAAAATCGAGACATAAGAATGTTTAAAAATGTTTGTGTCTTAAAAATGTTTAAAAAAAATTATTAAAATTACTTGTCAATTTAATTCGCAAGTTTACTACAGTAGTTTAATTGCGTTTATATAATCCGGAAAAGAATTCGGCGCCGAGTTCGAAAGACTACAAATATAGTATATATGCAAGTACATATATAATATATTTAGTAATTCAAGCTTGAATTATTTAAGCATTAAAGATCCAGTTTCTACCGTTATAGGCATTTTAATATTAATTGTGTTCTCACATAAACGGTCTAAAATAATATTGTTCTTAAAAATGTATTTAGACGTCTTTTAGACGCCTTTTATTAAAATATCTTTAAGATAGCCTATGTCAGGCTTTTGGACATGTGATATCTGGATACCTACTTGTATGAATATTGACATCTCTCAACAGCATAGAGCTTTAGGGGACGTCCTTAGAGGACATCCGTATGTCCTTTGAACATCTTAAGGACATTCCTAGTACGGATCCCCGACAAAGTGTGATATTAGGACGTTACATCACACAAAATTTAACATTTCATTAACTAAGTTAATTTTAAAATAATTTTCTTATTATAAAATATTAATGCAAATAAATATAAAAATCGTTATTGGATTATTTTAAAATGATCTGAATGATCAGATGTCGAAAATATTTAATGACTTTGGCTGCACTGACGTTGAATATTATAATTGCTTAATAAAATGACTAAAAATAATACATTAACGATGTTATCTTGACGTCAAAATGTTCTTTAAATTAATTGTTCTCTAGATATCTCAATCTTGAGTTACTAGGCTAAATAAGTTAAAGAAGCTATCTAAAAATGTTTTTCCTCTTTACCCCAAAGATGAATATAAACTACATTAATAAAAGATAATAAAAGGAAGAAATTGAAATCGCAAAATAGGAATAAACTGCCAGGAATCGAACTTGAATTTTTTTGCTTTTTGTGAAGATACATTACTAACTCAACAGAAGTTTCTTAATACTGCTTGCAATATCCGGTATATATTTTCAAGATGTGAACGTTTCATATAATTTATTATATATTGTGCAATTTTGCATACTGATATTATAAAAAAAATTACTTGCTCTATGCTAAAATGCTTCTTACCTAATTTGCTCTTTATCAGCATGTACCAGCACCGAATTTATTGCGCAGTATTAAAGTTAAGAAGATGATACAAACATCAGTCGTGAAATGTTAATTTGTCTGGAAATTAACATTTCACGATTAACGTATAATTCGTCGCATGCTGTGTTGTGTTCAATGTTAATATTCATACATATTAGAATAAATTGTACAAAAAAATTACATTCTACTTTACAAAATTAATATAAATAACATTATTATCCTGAATCGCACAAGAGAAGAAGTTAGAGATTCGATAACGACAGCCGTAATGCTGCATTACTTTGCACAGTTTTTACTTCCATCTAACGGAAACATGTCAGTAACTAGAATGTTATTTATGGAATGTAGCTTATTCGACCTTTCAAAACATCTAACTGTTTCTTACTGTCATTCATTACGTAGCCTTAGAGAAATATAAATCATGCGCGGGTATCTCAAAAAATTTTAAAAGAATCACATTTAAAGCAGTAAAGTTTTTTTTATATATTTTACACTTTTAAATATATTTTATACAAAAATGTGCTATTCTAAATTATAAAAAACTTTTTTTTTGAACATGGCCGGAGACACTACCATGTCTCCTGATTTTTAGTAATTTGTTAACAAGACATTTCTCTTGTACAAATCCAGTTCAGAAACACGTGGTTAAAGAAATTACTTCAATAGTATTTCTATATTGCAATAGAATGTGCATATGAATGCGTTTTCTATTATTATAAAGTTTTACCTTTACATATAAATTAGGTATTTTATTTGTATTTTTGATAATAAATATTTGTAATACATTATATATATTATTCCGAATTGAAATGTTCATGAAGAAATAAAATCTTAAAATAAACAGACACTGACGGAGATATTTACATATTATATATTTGTTGTTTATTACAAATATTACAAATATATTTACATTTTATATATTTATTTGTAGATAATATTATATTTCAACAATTCAAATCATTAAAATATTTTTGTAGTGTAAAAATGTCTGCTAACTAAAATCAGTGAAATATATCACCACGTAGTTAAAAATGTATATATATTGGTATATATGTATATTAGCCATATTTATTTTAGGAATTTTATTGTTATTCGTACATACAAATATTGAATAATAATTTGTGTCAAATGTGTATTATTATCAAAATATTTTCTACGCGGAAATAATTGGCATTGATTTTTATTTCTCAAGTTTGTGAAGCTCCAATAAACCTCTTTAATTATTATCATTCGTATTTGTTAATTGCTTTTTTGTTTTATGATAATATTGGCTGTTTTTATTTACTAGAATTACTGACGCAGCTTTCTTTGCTCTCGCATTCATACGAGACAGCTACAGCG